AAACCAACCCTGAATTATATGCAAACTCCAGCAGGCTGTCCCAACGTGGCAGATGGTGGTTTCGCAGCGCTCTCTGCCGGCTTACCCGAAAGCTTGTCGCCTGGCTCGACGAGGTTTGGACGAAAAGCCCGGTTGAGGAGTTGAGGGGCCAGGTTCACAGGGTTTTGCAAGGGTGTTCTGTGGCTACAGGATCCAGGGGTGCACTTGAAATAAGGGTCAGGCCTAGGAGACAGTGTAGATGGGTGGGAAGTATCCTACGCTGGGACGTGATGTCTGCAAGTCTGCAACCCTCCGTATGGTCTACTTCGGGTTTGGGCTTTGAGTATTGGCAGTAGATCAGTGTTGAAGGGACAGTGGTGGTTTAGTAGAACAGTGTCATAACTAGCCCTACACCCTGGGCCCTAAACCTTAGACCCTAAGCCCTCAACTTTAAGGTTGGCGGTCTGTGAATGGGAACTCTCCGTGCCCTGCAACTGTTTGTTCCGGACTTAGGTGCCTTCTCTGGGCCGGTAGTAGAACTAACACGTAGTACAGAAGCCCTAACTTATTGGAATAGGTTTCGGGGTAGGGTACATGTCAGTACATGCTTGGACTCGGGACTTTCAGGGAACAAAATTTCTAGTGATTCGGGTCTCTGTCTTAACTTCAAAAAGGGACCGCACGTGCACAGCCATAATCCGAAACTCCTGAGGGTGTCCCGGTTTCAAGCCAGCTCTAAGTTCCGCCAGCTCCTGCAGCCACGAGCCTCAAATGTCTTGGACAGAAATACCGGAATGCAAGCTTAGGCCCCTGGTAAAGGTGGGCATTCGGGTGTAATCTTAAAAAAACCCGAAACCCCAATCCCTAAACCCTAAACCCTTAAGCAAAAAAGGATGCCCCGAAATCCCAACGGCCAGCACCCCCAAAATCCCAAAACCCCAAAAACGAAGCCCCAGACTCAAAGCTCTCGAATCTCAGGCGATATCTTGAGCTCGAGCCTGCTACGCTGACAGAACCGCGGCGGCACCTCTCTCAAGCTCTTGCAACCAATAGCCCACAATACAACACACACGCACTCACACAATCGATGCTTGTTGGGGCTCGGGGCCTATGTTTAATCGCTTGTGGGTCGGTGGCTCCAAATTCCCAGGCCCTTTACCCTTAAGGCCTTAAGGTCTAGGGTTGAGGGTTTAGCCCAATTAAGCCCCCATAGTCAGATCCTTTCCACCCCAAACTTGTCTCCCCACAACCTGAGCCCTAACTATCTTAGGGACTCTCCGGGAATACCGCTTTTGGTAAGCCTGGTCAAGCCGCCAAAAAAGATCTAAACCAAAAAACCCGAGGCCTCAAAAGGTGGGATGAAGCTAGGTGGGATATTCGCAAATAAGAGTCCTTATATAAGGGATCCTTAATCCTATCCTACCTTAATCCCACCTTTTGAGGCCTCCGAAACCCCATTGATCTCCACCTCCTTCCCCAGAGAGCCCAATACCCCTTAATTAAGGAATATAGCTTAAATGATATTATGCGTCCCCTTATCATGTAAGGTATATTTCTTAATTAAGGGGTATTGGGTATTGGGCTCTCTGGGTCTCCACCCCTCTCCCTAAACCACTAGGGTTTAGGGCTTATAGGGTTTAAGGCTTCGGGGTATACGGCTTAGGGAACCATAAGCCGCTAACCCCAAACCTCCCGTTTTCCCCCCTTCTCCCTTCTTAGAGGCCCGGGAGACTTAGTAAAGTAGGTTATAAGTAGAGATATAAGTCCCCTAAATGGAGTTACCCCAATTCTAGCCCTACTTATAACTGACTTTCTACGTCCACTGTGCCTCGAAGTAGACCCTAAAACCCTAAACCCCATAGATCCCTTTAAGGAACCCTATAGATCCCTTTAAGGGGCCCTTTCAGAACCCTTACTAAGTCCCCTGTGCATCTAAGTTGAGGATGCTGGCCTGGCCGCTCTTCGCAACTCCTTGGCCTCGCGACAGCTCCAGCTGAAGCTGGCCCGGCGGGTTCTCCAAAGGGTTTGGTTAGGGGTTTAGAGCTTCAGTGTTTAGGGGTTTAGGGTTGTAGGGTTTAGGGTTTTTGGGGTTTAGGGGTTTAGAGTTTAGGTTTTTAGGGTTTAGGGTTTTAGAGTTTAGGGGTTAGTATGGAGGTCGGATTGAAATTTCTTTACTAGTAGTACTGTTCCTTTATCGTCCCCAACTCAAGTATGGCTATGCTATAACAGCACGGCAAAACCCTACTGCAACAACTAAGCCTCTAACATTAGGATTTAGGGTTCGTTGCCACCATCTGCCTAGGCTGGCCTCTGGTAGCCATAGATACGTATGCATTCGACAAAGCACGACCCTGTAAGTGCGAAGCTGTATACCCTAGTTCTAGTGGATACCAATCCTTATTCTCTAAAACTCCATCCGGTTCAGGATAAGTTGTGCAGACGAACCTGCTCTAATCCTAACATGCTAACTTCAGCATCAACACGGCAATTCCAAATGTGGTGGCACAGTTCGAGGATCAGGGAACTTAGTAAGGTCATGAGTTGATATTCTGGTTTCTCTAAGGAGGTTAGTTTCAAACTTTTGGGGTCTCGGTAGGTTATGAGTATCTTAATTGAGCCGATTAGATACTCTGAATGGTTATAGCAGCTTAAGTTAAGTGAATCGAAGGTGGGTATAGTTGAGTTGCGTGGATCCTTCAAACGCAAACGAACATGTCTGGCAGCGAGTTTAGCTGCACATCCATACCATGTATCTCTGTGTCAAAACATATTGTCACAGCTACCAAAGACTATCCATAGGCTTCATACTAGTTCCGTTTTGGGATTACCTTATGGGATTCTAAATATTAACCCCCAAAAAATGAACTACTATGGAGCCTATGATTATCCCCCAAAGAGTTCAGAGTGGCCGGGCGGCTTGTTGTAGCCCGTTTGTGAGTCCGGTTGCCCATCGTGTTCGATGCTGAAGCTTTAACAACTTTCCGGGACCCGAGTGACAAGGTCGTACCGAGTTGGTTAGTATAGGGGCCTATAGGCAATTACCAATACTATTTCGGGGTTCCGTCTTGTAAGTATAGTATAATGGGCCCCAAAGCCCTATTCTGATTACTAAGGCCCCTGTAGTAATCTTATGGCTACGATAATGTCACCTAGATACAGTCACCTAGATACAGAGTTACTGTCTCCTATGGTAACAGTATACACCAGGCTGACATAGGAACACAGCATATATGGCTAGTAAGTATTTAAGAAGCTGTAGCACTAGGGCAAGCTAATCTACAGGCGACTAAAAGCTCCTCCCCGGCATCCCCCTATCCTAATTGTTAGGGCCCCTATACTAGACCCTCATAGTACCCTTGCCTTATAGTAGCCTTATAGGAACCTTACAGACACCCTGTGAGGAACCCTTAAAGCAACCCCCTCCTTTTCAGGTTCTCACAGTATGGGAATGAAAGTTTACCTCGGCGTCAGGATGTGGCCTATACGGATGTGAATCCAGACCTGGCTGCGGAGCTTATAGGCACAGATCACGGAGGGTTCGGGGATAGGATTGACACATTCAATACCAACAGCAGCGATTGCAGTTGTCCTCCTCCTCATCCTAATCGTTCACTGCATCATAACATAATGGGAATCACTACCAGCAACATCTCCCTTTTGATCGTCATCTCCCTCATAGTGATCTCCACAGCCAGTGGCGATGTCTATGACGATGATAATCATTGGTATGTTGTTTATGCGGATGATGAGAACAAGGATGAAGAAGAGTGATGATGTTGGTTGGTGATGACGCTGGCGATGATGACGAAGATATGTTTGAAGCGAGGACATGAACATTTTCGCTGTCGTGCTCTACATTGTACAAGTCGAAGTCGTCGCTATGATGTCTTCCTTGAGCGTCCAAGTACCTTTAATACTCAATGTATGTTCTCTCAAGTATTAACCCACACAGCGAGATTTTAAACCTATAAGTACCTTCTTATCCACAGCCGTGGCAGCGGGAACCGAATCCGGTCTAGCACGCGCAGGTTGCAATTCCGTGTGTGGGTTGCGTTCAGGCTCAAGGACTGTGTCTCTTTGGCTCGACACTTGTGGATGTTGAAGTTGAGGATCGCATTTGGGAGGTATGGTCGTAGATTACAGCCCTAAATCCCTGGACGAAACCCAAAACGTGGCAGCATTTCAGGTGCTCTGAGCTAAGGTCGGCAGGGCTGGGTCCAGGGTTTAGGGAACCGTAACCGTTCGTAAGCCAAAGGCCACAGAAGGTGTTTTGGCTGTTTCACTAAATCTGCTGTGGCCGCTGACGCCCCTGCATACGCACACATCATAAGAAGATCAAGCATGGCGGCAACGAAGCCTTACGTAACAAAACACGAAGCATAAGCCCAAGAGCCTATAGCAGCAAGAGAATCCGTCGTAGGGAAGTAGCAGCTGCAAGCCGCAGGCAACGACAGCAGTCTCGAAACCCTCCGGCGCTGGCAGCCCAGCGTGGAAGCTGCACTCGCCACACCACTCTCAGAGGCATTGCTAGCTTTTTGGAGCTATACGAAAAGCGTGCGCGCATAAAGGTAGATCAGAAAAGGAAACAATGACTCTTCGTTGCAGGACCGGGTGGCTTACGCAGATGATGTTAGTTTCTACATAGTCGGAAGCATTTGCTCTTCAATCCGCGGGTTTCAGGGTGTATTGGATTGGACCCTAAAGACTAAGCCCTATAAACCCTAAACCCTAAACCCTAAACCCTAAACCCCTAAACCCCTAAACCCTAAACCCTAAACCCCTAAACCCCTAAACCCTAAACCCCTGCAAGCGGTAGCTTGCACGGAAGTGTAATGCCCAATGGAGACGAGTCACAGTCGAGTATGGCGAGAGGATGAGGGCCTACCGAAGGGGCCGAAGGATTCTCGCACCGAACTCTCTTTTGTGCCACTCGAAGCTGCGATTGTCAGGTTCTTTTGTACAAGAGCAGACAAGTGAATACTTGCATGACCCCCAGCCCGACAACCCAGCAGAAACCCCTTTTATGATTTCACATCTCCCGATTGTCCCTCCAACGGTGGGATTCCTTGCTCGCGTCGCTTTCTGGCCGACCGCATGAAGTCGTCCTCGACAATCTTCCAATGGTGTGACATACGGTAGTATAATTCCAGTTCTCTGGCATTGCCCACTTTTGTAAGCGCGTTCGCCAGCTGTGCTTCGGAATGAACCCATCGTACATGAAGATTGGTAGCCATCTGAGATTGCTTAATACTCAAGAGTTCTATATTTGATCGTTTTTCCTTGCCCTTGATCACCACAACCTCTGTAGCCAACTTGTCGTAGACGTTCCTTGAGTCCGTGATTAAGCAGCCCGTCACTCGTCGAGCCACAGCTTCATGTTCTCTTAAGTCCGAGATCCCGTAGAGCATCTCACTCCACTGGAACCTTGCAAAGAACAAAGCGTCCTCTCCGTTCACTGCCGCCTGAGTCTCAGCTGCGCCGGGACTCCGGCAAATACGATCTATCTTAGAGGAATGCCAAGCCACCGGAGAAATACCCCCAAGGTTTCCCTGAAGCAAACTCTCTGGGCCCATTCCCACAAAGATACCCTGTGTACTGCCCTGGTCCGGACGGTTGTCCGTCGCTGCGTCGACCCATGCGTACAGGGCCACTGGTTCGTCCTCGGCAAAGGCATGTATCAGCATCCGATGGTCCTTTCGGGCCTTGGTGTTCCAGAACAGCCGATTAGCCTTAGTGATGGTCTGGACCGTGCTCTGATTCACCTCGCTCAGCAGTAATGACACCTCAGCCGCGGTGTGTGGTGCCACTTGCTGGGCGTGCCAGCTCAAGCCTCCCAGTAAGGCTCTCAACTTACTCTTCTCTCTGTCTGTTGTCGCCGCGCAGCTCTCTTTTCTTCGCGAAGCACTCAAGGAGATCTCTGACATGCCGTCCAGATAGCTCGGCTGAGATAATTCAAAGCCGGTGGCCGTCTTTGTGATTTGCACACCACATTGAGTAAAACTATTCTTATCCCAGTCACCCCACTTAAACCGCTGTTGGATTTGTGAGATGATCTGCTGCCACTCGGTGTCCTCGGACTTGCCTCCAAACAAGAAGTCGTCCACATGGCCACACACCATTCCTCGGACTTTCCCTTCCTTTCGCCAGACCCAGGCGCAAGCATCTGACCAAAGTCTTTCTAACCCGAGGGAAGATAAAAACTCTGATACTGTACGGTACCACTCCAATGGCGCATCCACCAATCCGTAACAAGCTCTCTTCAGGCGAGTAATACTGCCACGAGGAATGTTCATGGCATCGCAAATCTCATCGCAAGGCACGCAGAATAGCTTTGTTGGGTACTCTCGTCCCTGCAAGAAAGCTCCAGATACATCTCCTTTAAAGACATCCCACTGTTTATTCGCCGCTAGTTGCAAGAAAAGTTGTCTGGTCTGTCTAGACATAACAGGTGCCGTAGTTTGCCGATGTTCATATCCCGGGTCTTGATACCCTAACAAAACTGCTCTGGCCTTTGCTTTGGATGAGCCGTCTTCGCGAACCTTCCACGTCAAGATCCATCTCATACCAATCGCCTGCTCGCGAGATGGTTTAAGATTGTCCGGGAGTGTCTCGAACGCCTCTGAAGCAATAAAGTTGCGAACTTCGATATGCTTGGCCTCCTTGAAGGCGGCTCGTTCAGCCTCATTCAAGTGTTTCTCCGAGACCTCCACGGCCTTTCGCTTGAGCTCGCCCACGAAGTAGTTCTGCAAGTTCCGGGTTGCTGCTTGCCAGCCTTTCTCGTTCTCTGGAAGGTCAATGCTGATCTCCACGGCGGCGCTGTCCTGCGCCCAGTAGGTGGCCTCCTCGGCCGACCACGCAGTTTCGGAGACCTCTTCCCACCACTTGGATCCGATGGGACCTCCGACGTGGGAACCCTGATTTTGGGCTCCTCGCCGCATGGCGAATGGTCTGCTGGGTTGTGATGGGGTGTCCTCCTGGTCATCTTCCATATCCTCTGCTGGCTCTGGCTCGGCACGCTTCCGACGCGCTCGATAGCGTGTGGGGGGAGCTTCCTCCTCCAAGTCTTGGGCACGACGCCACTCGGCTTCCGAAGGGCGCTCCGAGGATATGTCCTGATATTGGCTGCCTCCGATCTCTTCGGCAACCCTTGTGAACGTCCACGGAGTGGCCTGGCGTCCTTCCATCAGGGATTCCACGAGCTCCTCTCGTGGGGAAGCCCTCCTGAGCTGTTCCGGTGCACATTTTATGAGGCTCCGGCCTCGGACACACCAGATCGCGCTGCCGGGCCTCAGGTTGCCTGAGGCATCTCTCCGTGATTCCGTCGCCAAGACCCGAGCAGGGCCTAGGAAGGAACCATGCTTGCTCCCCGGCTGCCTGCGACCCTGTCCACTGCTCTGCACGCGCCAGAAATATACTAGTTCCCCTGGTTCGTAATCGTAAGCAGGTTTGCTCCGGGAATTCTGGGCCCTGACCACACGCTGCTGTGTGACCCAATCCACAAGTGCCTTTTCGGCTTCCGCCCTGCGAGCCTGACTTCGTTGAAACTCTCCCGCGGCATTCTCTATCAAGAGGTCTGGAGGCAGTTCATTGCCCACGAGTCGTCCTGTGGAGTCTGGGCTTTGGCCCAAAATGTGCTGCGCGGGTGAGAAGCCCCGAATCATCTCCCTTTGATTGAACACGCTCACGCCTAAGGACAACGCCTCTTCCGTCGTGGTATCAGGATCCCTAGCACAAATCTTACTCATCACTTCCTTGATCCCTTGAACCGCCTGTTCACACACTCCTATCTGGTGATGTGCCTCCCCGGGCACCAATTCCAAATGAATCCCCTGCTTGTCGCAAAAGTGCTCCAAAGCATGACTCCTAAACGGTCCCGCCGGATCAAGTCTCAGGACCCTGGGAAACCCAAAGTACTGACCCCAACCTTCTTGGAAGTACTCCAGGCACGAGGCGGCATTGGGGGTTTGCTTTGAACCTTTCGTCAACACCCTGGACACCCTGAACCTAGAACCCTCATCGATGATCATCAGGAATTGGGACACTTCCTTGGTTTTGGGGTGAGTCCAGTGTCCAACATCCGCCGACACCGTGCTCAGTTTCGGAGGCAGGGGTTCAAGAGTCGCCACTGGCCTACTGCCAACTCTTTGTTTCTCTAAGCACACCGAACACTTGAACTCCCGCGCCAGTTGCAACACTCTCTCGTTCGCTCCCCTCCTACGCAGTGCTTCCACTAAATGCTTTGTGCTGCTGTGCCCCGTTGCCGAGTGGAGGAGATACAGTTTTCGCTTGATCCTTTCTTCCTCCTGGTGGTCGTGGCGAGTGGTTCCTGGAGGGATGTCCTGTGCCGCCTGTGCTTGCTCCTTCCTGGGCGCCGGTTTCATGTTGAACCCTAGCTCTCTCAGCTCTCCTCTCTCTTTCTGGCTCAAACACTCTTCCTTCCTACTACTGTACCACGTGACTGTCACTCGGTCGCCCTTCCACGGGCAAGTCCCGTGCCAGGCCTGCGGTGGAAACGAGTGAACTCGGTGTCGTATCGGCACCACTCTTCCCTGAAGCGTAGAGCCGTCGTCGCGCTCCTGCTTCAGGGCGCCCGGACCGGCATAATCTTTGGGAGTTTCTTCCCATAACTCTCCGTCTTCGTAGCTCCCAAACCCGCAAACCCAGTTCTTGCTCTCAGGACTATTGAGGAGGTCTCGGTGCACAGGAGCATGAGCGTTTCGATTTATCACACACGCATTCCACGTCGTGCCCGGTGGCACGTGTTGTTGGAGGAACTTGTTCAGGAGCCTACTCGTTTCGGGAAGTTTGCGGGACATGTTGGTCAGGCCTTGTTGAGCCCCGTACGAGTACATACCTAGCACGACGCTTCGGGCCTCGGAACCTCTTAGGAATCTTCGGTGGCTCAAGGGAAGCTTGTCCAGGCGGGGAAGGAACTGCTCGATATCCTGGTACGTCACGGGGTTTTTACACAAGAGCCTTTGAGCCTCATCTTCACAAGTCCTAGCGAGTTCCTGGGACCAATCGCCTTCTTCAGACCAACCCTTGGCATCCCCGTCCGAAGAGCCCTGAAGGTCCCCTTCCGAAGACCCCAAACATTTCCCACATGTGGGCTGGTAGCCAGGCAACTTGTGCACCTCACAGGCGCATTCGGTAGCTTGGCCGAACAAAATCGGCAGTTGTGACTTCCCTTGGCATTCCTCCAACAGCCCGTGGTGACTAAGTTCCTGGCACAGGACTTCCGCCGCTACTTTCACATATTCTCGTGTGTACGGCGTGTGTCCTACCGTGTCGCCTGTAGATTGCACTTGTCCATGCCTAGTTTGAGGGGCACATCGACATGGAAGCTCCAGTTTCTGGGATAACCTTGCGTGGCTCGTGAGAATTTGCCACCCTTGCTTAATCACGCGTCCTTTATCATCCCTCAGGTTCAGCCTACACCCATTAGACACCGCCGAATAAAGCCCAAAGTGACCCTTCAATTTCTGAAACACCGGAAGTCTCCAAGCATGCGAATGGGCTGGAAGCGCAACCGTCGCATGGATCCCCAAGCGCATGCACTCATGAAACACACAACTGGCTCCGACAAACGCCCGGATGTCCTGCTGGCGCTTCTCTTGCAGGGCCTGTTGTTGTTTGGGGTTCTGGGCTCTAGTGTTCTGATAAGGTGAGAATGCGGAAGCTGGTGGAGTCATCCAAACGTTCTGCGGATTTTCAAGATGAAGCCGATCGATGATGAGCCGTACTCCTGCACTGGTGCGCAGGTCGCCCGCGTTCCATAATGAACACTGGCTGGCCGCCTGATCTGTTCCCACTATATCTCGAACCGCAGAGGACAGAAGACTAGATGAACTACCGGACACCTCCAGCAGCACGGGTCGCCTATCCCGACTTAAGGCCTCAAACACCTGAGGAATTCCATCCCAAGCCTGGCGTTCTAAACTCCTAGCCTTCCCAAGACTAAGCTTATGACCCTCTTCAGTCCTCTGAACCTCGGTGCGGCCCCCCAGCTGGCTACTCAGCTGGGCACTCATACTGACTCTCACGGGTTCATCTTCTTGCGCGGCTTCTCCTCCTTCATGTCGCGAACCTCCTCTTGCAAGGTGCTCACGGTCTTGACCAGCTGCTGGATCATCTGCTGCTGGCTCTCCATCAACTCCTTGATCATCATGTCGTGGCTCGAGGTCCCGCTGCTGGTGGCAGCACCTGCAGGTGGGCTCCCCGTAGCGGCAGCCTCGGGCGCCGGTTCGTCCAAGTGGTAGCCCTTCTTGGGTGGAGCCTCCGTCGCCGTCATCTTCACATCCGTGGCCTGGGATAGCCATGCTGCCAAGCGAATGAGGCGAGGGTCTGGATCGTCTGCTTCCACCGCTGTTTTGCGAACCCAGTCCACATACGACGGGTAGTTGTTCAACAGCTCGCCGTAGGTGATCTGGCTGTGACGGCCGAAGCCGACCACATCGCGGCTGGTGGCTTCCACTTGGCGATAGATCTCGTGTACTCCGCGGGTCGCCATCTGATCCACCGTCTCGTTGGGACTCACCATGAGGCCCAAGTTGGTGACCAAGTAGTCCGCCAGGTCGCTTCGCTTCTTGCGGGCTTTGTTCAATTCCGTGATCTTCACCTTCAGGGGCGTCTTGGACTGGAGCTTCAGAATGGACGGCGAGTCCTCGCCGCGGATTTTCATGAGCTCCTCGAGACGAGCCACCAACTCGGTCTTGTTCCACTTGGTCGGCGGCGTCTCGCCGTACTCCTGGATCTTGCGCGTGAGCTCCGGCTTGGTCAACTTGGAGAGCGCCATGTCGATCGGAGCTAGGGCTGCTAGCAAGGAGAGGTCGGCAATCAAGTTTGTCGCGAGAGGAATGCTGCTGGTCCCCCGCGTGCGGTCTTCCACGGTTCTCGTGACACTCGGGAGATGTGAAATTACTACTAGCGGTAGCACCCAAACCCTCACTAGACCCTTTCCCCTGGGTTGTGGCCTGGGCGTCGCTACTGTCTACCCGGTTCCCTGAATCACACTGGTCCTCCACGTTTTCGGCAGGGTCCAAAAACGGGAGGTGCTGTCCCTAGACAGCGTCCTCTTCTTTGAGGAAGTCCTTCAATCCTGGCACAGCCTGTTTGGTAGGCTGAGAGTTCTTCAGCAAGTCTTCAAACAAAGGCAGCAACTGATGACCCGATGCAGATCGTTGCAACTGTACAAGCTTCCGATCATTGATGTTCCTAAACACAGCTACATCGCTACTGAAATCCACAATGGCTCCCAAACTTCGCAATGTTGCCACTGAGAACAAAATCGGACCATGGCCTTGGGAGATGGTGTGGATGTTCAACAGTCCTGGCTTTCCGTCGGCTTCGATGTTCATCTGTGTTGTGGAAATGCACTGGTTAGCACTGCTATTTCCAAAGGCAAACACCGGGCGGTTGTCCACATCGACTTTTGCGATTCCATCATAGCCCTTGACCTTCTGGTTCATCTTCATCAAGCACTCCACCGCCTGTACCGAAGCAACAGTCTTTGTTGCCCCGCCGTCTACCACGGCCATGCCGCGGCGTACGGCCTCCTCCGTAGTGGGAGCCCCTGCCAGAAGCGCATCCTCCTGGACCACGGGCTCGTCGCTGTAGCACACGAAGGGGGCGTGCTCGCCCTTGGCCGTTGTCTTGCTAGCCGGTGGATCGGGGCAATTGGCGGCTCTGTGGCCGACTTTTCCGCATGCCAAGCAAGTCATGTTGCTATCATCGCGCCCTTTTCCAGCGCTTTTGCCCTTTCCGGTCGAATTCTTGCCGTAGTACTGTCGGGACATCTTCACGAACTTCTGCTTGGCTCTGGCCTCCCGGAGCGTCTTCCGCGCTCCTTGGAGGATCGCCAGGGCCTCTTGGGCCTCGTGATTGGCCTCCTGGAAGGCCCAGAGACCTTCTTCATTCATCCCGCTTGCGATCAAACTGTCCTCATCATACTCTTCGGTCTGGTCGTCCTCGTCGGACTCTCCCTCTTGTAGTTCGCCCCAGAAGCCGCTGCCCTTGGTCGAATTGTCTCGTCGCCGGAGGTCCTGTTCGGACCACTGATTTCTCAACTCCTGGGCGATCCTCTGCAGGGAGTAGTCCCCTCTCACTGCCGTGGTGATCAAGTTCCTCTGCTCAGCATCCAGTCCCGCGTCTTGTAGCAACAGCCACCCTTGGATGTAGTCCGGTAGCAGCTCCTCCAATCGCTCATTGAAGGCGGGATACTGCGTGCTAGGCCACGAACCTGAGCTCCACCACGACGTTGGATTCCACTGATATCCCCATCCGGCATTCCAGGAGGTGTTCCACTCCTGGTAATTGGACCAGGCGTTCCAAGCCTCAGAATCTCGCTGATTCCCCGACTCGGACTGATCTTCATCTCCTTGGTCGCCTGCGCCCGGCTCACTCACGGGAGCCGCTGCCTGTGAAGACATCTCGGATCCGTAACTGTCTCGTCGTCCTCGGTTCCAGGATGGATTCTCGGTGCCGCGAGGTCGATCGCCTCCGGCGGTGGCGCCTTGGTGATGTGGGCGCACTCGATGGTAAGCCTGCTTGGCTCGTAGATACGTCTCACACTTCCTGGTGACATACTCCCCCATGGTCTCTCCCGCCTTGCGACGGCTCTGGCGGAAGTACCTCTGCAGGTAATCCGACAGCTCGCTGAGCTGCGGACGCCCCAAGCATGCCCTCAGGTGATCCAAGAGCACTTGGGTCCCAGTACTGTGCGCCAGCCACTGTGGGTCCTTGCCTAGGATGAGACGTTTCGCCGATCCCTGCAGTTCCGAAGCCAGTCGAGGCCCATTCATGTATCTCTTGTGCCAAGGCGTGGTGGCCTCCCATAGGAGACACATCTCATAGTATTCTTGGAAGCCCCCTTGGCTTCCATTCCACTGCGGCACTCCATCCTTGCTCTTTGACACTTCCGCGGAAGCTGTTCCGCTCATTTCTCCAGCGGCCTCGTAGCAGCTGGAGCCGTTCTGTGATTGGCCCTGGATCTAGGAACCTTCCCCGGCCAACGGGAAGGCTCCGCTACCATGCAAGCGGTAGCTTGCACGGAAGTGTAATGCCCAATGGAGACGAGTCACAGTCGAGTATGGCGAGAGGATGAGGGCCTACCGAAGGGGCCGAAGGATTCTCGCACCGAACTCTCTTTTGTGCCACTCGAAGCTGCGATTGTCAGGTTCTTTTGTACAAGAGCAGACAAGTGAATACTTGCAACCCCTAAACCCTATACCCTATAAACCCTAAACCCTGAAGCCAAAGTCCCAAACCCTAAACGAAAGCTGAAGCCCGAAGGCCCTCTTGCGCCGAAGATGGCCTTGGCTAAACCTAATTCATCTGTTTAGGGTTTAGGGTTTATAGGGTTTAGGGTTTAGGGTTTAGGGTTTATAGGGTTTAGGGTTTAGGGTTTAGGGTTTAGGGTTTTGTTTCGGGTTGGGTGATTTTTCGGGTGTTTGCTCCTGTCTGCTGATGGTCAATCTTAAAGCACCCACGACCCTAAACCACCCCTCCAAGCCCTAAAACCCCGGTCCTGAAGCCCGACACTCTCCTTAGACACGAACCCCCCGCCTACTTCAGCGTATATCTTATAGTGTTTTTACTCTGTTCATACCTGTATCAGCAATTTTGCCTAATTGCCCAAGAATGAAAAAGTTTCGTGCTGTCCGCTGCTAACAATAGGTTTTCAGCCGCAGCTTTGTACAGTTCTACTGCGGTGGATACCACAGCTCCCCCAAATCCTGCAGGTGCACCGATTCTCGACGGTTCAATGACAGGTGGCATCGATACGGAGTCCGCTCGCTCCAAATCGGTTCTGAAGACTGGCTCTTACTGAGCAGGCGCTTCGTACACATACGAGTTCGGCTGGACGTCCTGAAACAACCATCCGGTTGATGATATAAATCCTGCACTACCCATAATAAGAAATATACCATAATTCCCATAGTTTAGGGCCCTTAAGGTAATGCAGGGTTTATATCATCAACCGTCATACCGTCTCGTACGCCGCTGTCACATCAGCCCTCGCCCACGGTAGGTCCATCACCCAGCGTGGTACCTACGCATACTCCCGCGCCTACGTTGATCAGTCGGGTTTACAATCATCAGCAGAACCTGAATCTCAACTTGGACCACGGCCTACTTGTTGAGACTGCCAACGATAGGCATGCCGAAGTCGTCCAAAGACTCCATAGTAAAAACAGGGAGCAGATGGAATTGCAGGCCCATAGTCATGTCGCAAAGCTGATGCTGGAGCATGCGCAGCTGCAGAACCGTGCTAAGTTTGTTGAAGAAGAGGCTCCCTAAACCCTAAGACCCCAAGAGCCTCAATAGCCTGAACCTTACAACCCTAGATTAAACCCCAAGAGCCCTATATTCCTATATCCTTAACCCCAGAAACCCTAAAATCCCGAAGCCCTAAACAAGAACAGCAAATTCCTAAACCCACAACCCCTTTGCCAGGCGCCTCCACCCTGTACTGCAGCGGACGTCGCCGCTGCGGCAACCCCTGCCCTGCCGGTCGCGCCACTTCCGAAGGCCTTCTGGGCTGTTCTTAGGGAAGTTAGTAAGCTAGTAGGGGTTTGGGGTTTCGGTTTAGGGTTATAAGGGTTTAGGGTAGGGTTTGGGATTTTTGGGTTCTTTTTCAGGATGTCAACTTAAGTTACCATAATAGGGATCTATAGTTAATAATAGTTCGTCGTTCTTCTGGGCGTTTAAGGCTTAGCGTTTAGGGTTTATGGAGCCGTCCCCAAATCCTAAACATTGAAGCACCAAGCCACCCGGCCTTCTGGGGCCGTTCCCACCCATAACTGGGTGCCTGGACAGTGAAGATAAACCCCTAAACCCCAGAGCCGAAGCCAGCCAATTCCTCCACTCCGAGGCGGTCGCCACCTCTCCTGGGCGCGATGCTTCGGAGAGCCAGCGGCCCTCCGTGATCGACGTTCAGCTGCCCAAGGTACATAGATAGAATGAGGGAGAACTCTTATAAAGGGGTTTAGGGTTTGGGGTTTCTTCTTAACCCTAGTTCTGGCTCTCTGAAAAGGGACCTTATTGAGAGGTTCCGTATCCCACTATAGGGTCCCCTAATCCTAACTCCTAACATATACAGGGATCCCATCATCCCATAACCTTGACCCTACATAACCCATGTCTGAGGGCTCCTTGTCACTTGTTACGTCTTCTTTGTGTAAGTTTCCTTAAGAAGGCCGCTTACTTGGTTTCCAAGGGCATCCTACAAATTCGCATCCAAAAGCCAATCGAAGCCCTGCGTCAGCTCACCCTAGACCTTAGACCTTAAACCCTAAACTAAACTTTGGGCCTCATCCTAAACCGTAGGCGGCGCCGGCGGCGAAGAGCAGCCCCGCACCCAAGGCCAAGGAAGGAGCAAGGTGCGCTCTTCGGAAGGGTGCCTTACATGCTCCTCGCAGGGTTCCTTTAAGGGATTTACGGCCGTGATTAGGGTTTAGGGTTTAGGGCCTTGATGAATGGGCTCCAAAACCTTATTCTAATCGTTAAGGCCCCTATAACTAAATCCTTATGATAGCCCTTATAGTAGCCTTTATGGAGCCCTTTAAACGGGGCCTATTCTAATCAAGCCCCCCCCCCCCAAGAATTAGTGAAATTAGTGCTTCAGGGTCGCTCGCCCCAAAGCTCGGCTTCCTTCCAAGAGTTCTTGAAGACTGATCTTGAAGTTGACCGTGCATTTATGAACCGGGGAACATCTACGGAATTGTGTGGCCGTGCTATGGGAAAGTCCGCTATCATAGATCAAAAAAGCCCTAACCCGCACGTCGGCCATGGCAGGCCGCCTGCCGAAGCGGCCAAGACGAGCTCACTGCCCTCCGGCCATTGTTTTTTTTGGATTTTTTAAATAGGGTTTAGAAAAGGGTCAGGGATGGTTAGGGTTTCGGGGTTGGGGTTTGCGGTTTTGAGATTCGGGTTTGGGGTTGACAGGCTTATTTCCTAGAGCAAATTTGGAAAACCAAGATATAGCTCCTACATCGGGGATTCTTGGGTTTAGGCTTCTTGGATTTAGGGCGCTACTGGCAGGGTTTTAGGTCCTAGGGCGATTCAATGAGCTAGCGCCTCTCTTTGCTGAGGGCGTCATGAGAAAAGCGCGCTGCCTTTGGTGGGGTCCCTGCTTCGGAGGACTGTGCATAGATGTATAGGACATATTTTTTGCATAGCCCCAAAACCCGGTTCTAATTGAAAAGCCCCATATAGTAAGGGTTTGTACGAGTAGTAACTCGCAAGTGTACCCTTGTAGGACCCTTGAAGGAACCCTTAAACCCTAAACAACACCACAAATCCTATATCCTGAACCCTACAACCCCAAGAACCCTGAATCCTTAAAATAGCCTGAATCCAACAAGCCCCTGTATCATCAGCATTTGGGGAACAACGAAGAAGGACTTGGGGCCCATAAGGCAACAAATTATGCGTTCGGGTTTGGGGTTCAGGGTTTGGGGTTCAAGAGGTTTAGGGTTTCCGGTTTTAGGGTTTCGGGTTGGGGGTTTGGGGTGTTCGGGGTTTAGGGTTTGGGGTTTAGGGTTCAGGGTTTAGGGCAGCTCAGGGTTTAGGGCAGTTGAGGGTTTAGGGCTGGGCCCAACTACCTTCCAATATACCTTAGATATTAATTCACGATCGAGGACGCGCTCTATTGAGGGGCACTTGGGGCGTAAGATTGACTTTAGGGCCCTTGATTTCGTGGACAACTTCCTTCTTTGTACCCCCGAGTGAAATTTTATTTTAAGGTTCACGGTTTAGGATGGTCTCCGCAAAAGCGGGCAAGCCCTAATGCTGTATGACCTCGTCGGGAGCCCGACTTCGGAACACATACTTGGAGGATGGTGTCTTGTTCGTGTTACCTGAGGGGGCGATCCTGTTTATTGGCGTCTATATGAGACCCTTGCTTTTGTTGAGGATTCGGTATGTTTCCTACGAACTTTCAACATCCTAGTCATAGGCACTACCCCAACTCTGTCTTCATCATGCGGTGAGAAGATCTTTTGGTTATCCGATAGCCTCCTAAACCCTAGCTGAACCCTAAAGACACCTGAATTCAAGCCTGAGAGCCCCAGCATCAGTGGTAGACAGCGCAAACCTGCGAAGGTGTTGAAAGGTGTACTTAGCATAACAGAAAATGAGAAGTTAGCATTAAAGCGCAAATAGACCCAAAGATCTTGTATGGTATTCGCATCTTGTAGTAATATCCATCAAAGATGTACATACACATTCAATGTTCCTTTCATTGTATGTTTGGATCCTCGGACCCTCAGCACTTACAGGTCACTCTGTGGAGCCAGCATTGCACGTCAGCAGCCGCGTCAGCCGCCGAAGGTGCCCAGGGGATTGAAATCGAACATGCTGGATTTTGTGTGAGGGTTTAGGTCTTTAGGGTGTAGGTTTTGGGGAGAGGGTAGTTTAGGGCTTATATAGAAATTTAATGTATAGGTGTGATTTTGAGTGCTGCGCTCTTTACCGTGCAAGTTTTTCAGTGTCCAGCAGCAGCATTTTGTAACTACATCATACTACAAGGTAGCCCAGTATACTCACCTTTACTGTCATGGTGCTGCCAGCTCGACATAAATCCGACACCCCTAAGCCCTAAACCCTAAGCCTAAACCCAAAACACTGACCTCCAAGAGAAGACTTGTCCGGCAGGCCTCGCTAAACCTCCGAACCAGAGCTCCGATCTGAAGCTGGAGGTCCAAAATCCGTGATATATTTAGAGGCCCAAGGGACTTACGGGTTCCTTTGAAGGATGCTTTTAGGGGTTCTAATTATAGTACTTAGCGGCCCAAAGGCTTAGTAAGTAGGTTCTAAGTAGAGTTCTAAGTACCCTAAATTGAGTTACCCCAAATATACTACTTTTCACCGACTTGCTAACTCCCTGCGCCTCCAAGCAGGGGCCAGCGAAGTGCAGAAGGTCTTGTCAGTTTGGGGTATCGCTATACTGTCGCAAAAGCATGCAAAGACCGTATGGGACCATAGGGAGATCACCACATGACGAAGAAACATCAGACCTAGTAGAAACAT